GACCAACAAGAAACTATGGGAAGAAACAAAACAGGAACCAATCGCCCAAGAAATATGCAGGGGAAAGTGGAGATGGATTGGACACTCGCTGAGGAGGCCACTGGGTGACATCGCGCGTCAGGCTAGTGCTCGAGTGGAACCCGAAAGGGAAGCGGCGAGTGGGACGTCCAAGGGTGACATGGAGGAGATCGTGTCAAGAAGAGTTGAAACAGTATGGACTAACACGGATACAGGTGAAAAGTACAGCAGAAGACAGAAGCAGCAAGTGGAGACGTGCAGTTGAAGCCCTATGTTCCACTAGGAACCCAAGGGAACAACAATAATACAATAATAATTTTTTTATTTAAACTAGTTATAGGAGGTATTATAACAACTCAACCTAATGCCTCAACTGTCGCATAGATTTACGTGTACAGAACAACGAGCCTCACCCGGTGTATGTGGCCTTCATCGACAGGTAATGTTAGTCGCTTACATAGGATCAGGTTGTTAAAGAGCTAACACATGGTCGTCAAACCAAAACGTGGCTTTATCAAACCAAGAAATCTATGACACTTAGTTTAGGCCATGGAGGGAGGTGTAGCCTACCTGACTGGTTTGAGGTCCTCGAGATGGTAAGAACCAATGACGGCTGGAGATAGTTAATGATATGACTCAAAATCATTCTCAATGACTCAGAATGCAATAAATTTTTTCAGTCTCCAGTATCCATTAAACTCTACAGTTTTACCAAGTTACTATTCTTTCTCCCTCACATTTCTGCTTATAACTCGGTCGGTCGGTCGGTTTTCGACATAGAACTTTGCACATATGTGCGCCAGTTCAAGTCGCCACAATCTATGTAGCACGCAAAGCAAGAGAAGAAAGTAGAAGAAATGCATAATGGAAACAGTAAACAGAGGTGTGAGACAAAGGAATAGTAATAACGGAGAACAAAAGTTTAATTGGAAATCATAAGTCACAAGGAGTGGATGCATCTGTGCCACTGAGAACGATTTTGAGCCATGTCACCAATTGTTTCCAACCATTGGTTGTTACCATCCCGAGGGCCCCAACCAGGAAGTCTACACCTTCCTACGTGGCTTAGATTAACTGTTGTGGATTTCATTGATTGGTGCCATGTTTTGGTTTGACCACCGCTAGCTCTTTTCCAGCCTGACCCTATATCAGCTAACATTGCCCGTCGAGGAAGGCGATGACTAGGCATACGTAGCACATGTCCTAACCATCTCAGTCGAAGTAATTTCACAGTCTCGTCGATTGATTTCCCCGCCTTACCTAGCACTCGACGCCTAACCTCAATATTGCTCACCTTATTATACCACTTCACGCGGGAGATAGAACGCAGACACCTATGGTCGAAGACAGCTAATCTTTTCATGTCTTCTGCTCTCAATGGCCAGGTCTCACAGCCATAAAGGAGGACGGAGCGGACTGTTGAGCAGTACACACGCCCTTTGGTCGGTAGTCGGATATCGCGTCTACGCCACAGACGGCGAAAACTGGCGAATGCGAACCTAGCCCTCTGTATTCGTGCTGAAATTTCGTCGGAGATCAACCCGTTGGGGCTGATGGTACTTCCCAAGTAAGTGAAGCGGTCAACGTGCTCTACCACTTCACTTCCTATTTCTAATCTAGGGGTCGATGAAATCCAATCATGCAGCATCATCTTACATTTTATAGGGGCGATTCGCATGCCAAACATGCGGAGATTGTTGCTCAGGGTGTTCAGTAGACTCTGCATCTTGTCAGAGTCCTCGCCTAGAAGGACTATATCGTCCGCATATTCTAAGTCAACGAGATTCTTCCCTGGTAGCAAGTCAATCCCTGAGTCGCTGAAGTGGGTTAGGGTTAAGTCCATTAGTACATCTATGATGAAATTGAATAGGAATGGGGATAATGGGCATCCTTGACGGACGCCACTAGTCGTCACCACTTCAGATGACAACTCGCCATAAGCCCTAACCTGGCTGCATGAGTACGAGTAGAGTGCCTCAATCAGTGCAATGTATTTTGTCGGCATTCCCTTTACAGCCAAGAATCGCCAGAGAACCTTTCGGTCGACAGAATCGAATGCCGCCTTTAGGTCAAGAAATATAATGATTGTCGGACGCCGGTAGGAATGCCTATGTTCTAGAATCTGTCGAAGGGTGAAGATGTGATCAATACACCCTCTACCTGGCCTAAAACCTGCCTGGTTTACTCGTGTTTGTGTCTCCCGAGCACCACTTAATCTACGCAGTATTATTGAGCCTAGGATTTTAGATACTATATTAGTCAAGCTAATCCCTCTGTGATTATCACAAGACGACTTGTCCCCCTTCTTGTATATCGGGATGATCAGTGACTTACACCAACCCGATGGGACTTCCTCTGATTCCCAGACGCTGCCTAGAACCTCCGTTAACGCAGACAGTAAACTGTCGCCTCCGTACTTAAATACCTTTGGAGTCAATAAATCAGGTCCCGCTGCTTTGCCTAGCTTCAGATTGGTGACAGCTTTAGTAACCTCAGTTAAGGACGGAGGACCTGTGTCTATCTCCCATTCAGGGAGGTGTTGGATGTCCGGTAGGTTAAGTGTGGCTGTGGGCCAATTAAACTGCTCCTCATAGTGTTCTTTCCAGCGCTCCAGACGTCTATCCTGGGAGCTAATTATGGTGCCATTTTTCTCGGAGATTGTTTCGCTTATCATTTGTTTTTTACCACCTGTTTCCCTGATAAGCCTGAATAGTTGTCTGGTGTTGCCTATCGCCGAAGCTTTTTCCATCTCTTTCGCCTTTGTCAACCACCACTGTTCACGGTCCTTGCGGAGACTTTTCGTAAGTTTCCTCTTGTGCAGCTTTCGCTCCTCATTGAATTCGGAGCTCGCCGGGATAAGTCTTCTAGCATCTATCAGTTCGGATGAGGCAGTCGAAATCCAGTGGTTTTTACTCACCTTTGGAATTACCTTATTCACAGCTTTTACAGCTGTATCTATGGCTGACTGAATATTCTTCCAGGCTTCTTCAGGGTGAGCGCAGCTGTCAAACTCAGATATGTGTTTAGCTAGTTCTTCCTCAAATAGGGACTTAGTTCCCTGGTCGAGCTGGGGACGTGATGGGTTTACTGCCAGCTGTTTCCTACGTCCGTTCAGTCGTAAGCACACACGAGCGCGGACCAGTGCGTGATCGGTATCTACACACGTGTTCCCGAAGGAGCGACAATCTCCTACCGACCCACGCCAACGATAGCTTATTGCTATGTGGTCTATTTGTGTCCAGCGTTGATTTGATGATGGGGGTCGCCAGGTCAAACAGTGTCTCTCCTTGTGTTTGAAGTTAGTGCTTACAAGATACAAATGATTATCTGAACAGAACTGTAGGAGACGGTCACCGTTGTCGGTTCGCTGGCACGGAATTCCGTATGTGCCACCAACATTCTTCTCAGATTGACACAATTTCCCTACTTGAGCATTAAAGTCACCAGCTAAAACGACTATATCTGAGCGTCTAGCCTTTCGCAGCAAACTAGACAGCTTTTGGTAGAACTCATCCTTCGTTTCATCCGAACTGCAGTCAGTGGGGGCGTAGGCGGAGATTACGAAAAGGCATCGGCGAGTAGTGCAGTCCTTTCTCCTTTTCACTGATCCGTTCAGGCGGACAGCGCACATTCGGCTATCTACCGGGATCCAGTCAAGTAATGTCTTTTCTGCTCTAGTACTTAAAGCTATCCCAACACCAGCTAGTCCTCGTGAGCTAGCCGTCGCAACTCCTGACACCCTCAAGGTGAATTTTGCAGATTCATCCTGTTGGCCAGGTGGGGTTAGGTGAATAACCACACTTGGGTCCTGTATGCGTGTTTCTGAAACACAACATACATCAATGGCTCGGGATGCCAGAGTCTTGGCTAGTGATGCTTGTTGTCCTATTTGGCAAAGTGTCCTAACATTAAATGCTCCTATATAAAATTGGTGGCGTGGTTTTAGGAGACAATCGGTGGTGGCTTTTTGGCTTCCATCGTTATCAGTGCACACAGAGTGAAGGGGAAGTGAAGAGCCAACAAGTAGAGGAGTTGCATTGGTAGAAGGAAGGCAAGATAATAGAGATGAAGATGAAGACAAAGATGAGCGAGGATTAGAGGGGTTTCGCGTGCACTTCGGATTGTGAGGGCGATTGGTACTTCCCGGCTGCCCACACCGTGGAAGTTGGTTGCGTGACCGCAGAGCCCAGGGGACAACTGCTTGAGGCCGGTCACACACGGCCTGTTTTTGTTTGTTCTTTTTTATTTGGTGTGTCTCAGTAGCGTATTTATCACTTCTGCCCTGTGACACGGCAGCAGGAAGCGCGGTCGTTGTTAATCCGGGCCCCGACCGATCCGGCATGATATTTTGTGATTTATTTGAAATCATAGGATTGGATTGGGTAACTGCTTTTAGTCTAACTGCTATCCAAACAACCTTTCTGGCATGGTAGGACCTGCAGGAACATAAGTTCCAGCCAGTATAGCTTGTTGGGTCATTGCAGTGTTCAAGCCCGACCACCACGTCAAGGTAGCAGCTTTCGGTCGGGCTGCTTATAACTGGTTCTCTTTTGTCTTTTTTTGTGTGGAGCATAGCAACTTCAAACTGTTGGTGGACTTCCGTGGGAAGTTCTATGTTGAAACCGGTCAGTTAGACTGTATATGGGTCACGGGTATCGGAATTCGAATATCCTATAAACTAGTGTTTGAAAGTTGATGAACTACACAAAAGGCTCTAGCAATTTGAGACGATTCGAGTCCGTGAACTGAGTCAAAAAACCCCTAGATCACTGATAAACTCGATCTTAAACGAGTGAAAAAGTCGGGAATTCAGGGTTTAGCAAGCAAAAACTACTGGTTTTTGTCAATGGTGTTTCAAACTATTGATATTAATCATATTAGTAGTATATGCTATCAAATAGAATAATATAAACAGAAGAAAGCCCCATATAGCAATATCAATCGTAATAATATTAATAATAAATAGCATCTATAGGACTTACATGAATATGTAGATACTTAAGAACACGTTTATGCGTCAATATATGTAAAGGATTCCCACTGGCAGAATCAATCACCGGTAGACGATGTACTTTATGCTTGAGTAGCATACGAACAGCATCTAGTAGAGTACTTTCAGGTGTAATATAAACCAATGAACGTTGGTATTCTGTTAATTGATCTAGAAATAAGTAAGAATAAAGTATTGGTGAGATGGTGAATTAGTAGTGGTAACGACAGAAGACAATGGACAGGCAACAGATCGTTTTAATTGAGGAAATCAAGAGATATTTATAGATTTTTATGTACATCATTATTATTCGCATTATTGTTAGCGAAGAAGCAACCTCTTCTGATTGATTGTTTCCTTGCTGTGAAGGTTATTCTGTACTGCTTGTGACCGTTTCTCAGAAAGTTAAGCCCTATATCTGCGAATCGTATCCGCCCACGCTAAGTCTGTTGTGATTGGTTGGTGAATTCCTCAAGGTTAAACTTTGTTATTGTTCTTGTCATAACCCTGATTCGGGACGTGACGATTGACGTAAATTGTTGTCTACAATTTTGGCTCTCGCCACAGTAGTAGCAGAAGTTATTAAAAGGGCAAGATGACATTTTAAATGAAATTGGAACGGGATATTTCAATTCAGGTACAGGCTCCTGCCAATCTTGTAACGGTACTTTTCACTTAGGCGGTACTAAGTGCATATCATACTTACAGACACTAATCGCCAACTGATGAAGCGCAATTTGGGAAGTCTGCATGCTATCGCATAGTAAGACGATATCGTCTGAATACTCGAGGTCGAAAAGTCTATCTCCAGGTAGCAGATCTACACCACCTTCATGCACATCCTTCAGAGCTGACTCCAGAATGTCATCGATGGCAAAGTTAACGAGGAATGGAGACACTTGACAACCCTGTCTAACCTCACTGTTGGTTGGGAACAGTGATGATAGTTGGTTGTATGCACTCACTCTACCTGAGGTGTTTCTGTATAGAGCTTTCAAGATGTTGACAAACTTCTCAGGTGCATCCCTCTCTAACAGACAGTTCAAGAGCACAGTTCTGTCTAACGAATCGAAGGCACCCACCTAATATCAAGAAACACAACGATTGTTAGAGGTATTCCAGCAACTGATGAAGGGTGAACACATGATCAATGCATCCACGACCTGAATGAAACCCAGCCTGCTCTTCGCGAATCAATCCTCCACGTGCTTTGTACGGCCGGTGGAGCAAGACAACAGCCAATATTTTAGACGCAAATGGTAGCAGACTGATAACCCTATGGTTGTCACATGAAATACGTCGACCCTTTTTAGAGATGGGGACGACAATGGCTTCGTTCCACATTGATGGTACAACCCCTGTCTCCCATACTTTCCTGAAAAAACCACTTATAGGCATTGCAAGAGTCTCACCACTATCTTCTAAAAGAACTGATTATCTGGGCCGAGTGCCTTATGGCGTTTTAACTCTTGGAGTTCCTTACGGACCTCCACTTCGGTTGGGTGGGTCGGTACTAACCGACAAAGGAGCACTGTAGCTAGTGACAGCAGATATTTGCAGCCAAAACCTCAAGTCGTCCGGGACTCGAATCCCAGACTACATACTACACTGTCTGGTTTACAAACCGAAAGAAAGTCGGGAAACGAGGGAAGCTTGGGTGCGAGACTAGCAATCCCACTCCATTATTAAAAGAAGAAACAACGCCGCGAGTGAAAGTTCAACAACTTCAAGCCCTATATTTCACTGGGAAAACAAAGAATGAAAGAAGAACAGTTCTAGAGGTAAATGAGCTTTAATATAAGTTGCCACTGTTATGGGTTACACTCATCAATTTGGATAAAGTGAGGGTGTTTGCATCTTATTTCCCGTGTTAGATGGCATAATAAGATGAGTAATATTGAAGTTAGGCACCGGTCGAGTGCTAGGTAAGGAGGAGGGAAAATCAATCGACGAGACTGTGAAGCTACATTGATTAAGTGGATGGCTAGGACATGTGTTACGCATGTATCCCTAGCAATCGATTGGCGGATCACGTTAGAAAAGAGTTAGCTAGTGGCGGTCAAACGAAAACATGGCTTACTCAGTCAATGAAATTCATAACAGTTAGTTTAAGCCAGTCAGTCAAACTCGTAGGGAGGTGTAGACTGCCTGGCTGGTTGTGATCTTCAGGATGGTAGGGACCAATGACGACTGGAGATAACTGGTGGGCGATATGGCTCAAAATCATCGTCCTCAGTGATGGCTGGTGCAGATGCATTCACTCTTTGTGATTTGTCATATCCATCTTACCTTTCCGATTCTGACTGGCTTTGACATCTTCGTCCGTTCCGATGGCATGTAGTCGAAACGATGCTTCCTAGATAAGTGAAGGAGGTAACGTTTGTTCAATCTCTCCTATTGATGGTGATGGGTGCTGGTTGTTGTTACTGTTGTTCGGTGAGGTATCTTCATCACCTCCGTCTTCTCTGTGTTCACCTGCAATCCTCTTTTCGCTGTCTGCCCCATTCAGCCAGTTTGTTGGTTTTCGCATGTCACTCTTCGAGTTTGTGACACTAGACATATATCACCTGCGAAATCCAGATTTTCTAGAGTCTTCCAGAGTAGTCCTGCCTCCTCATTCCCCATAGTCTGACGCACAATCCATTCCACCGCAGTTAAGAATATCGTCGGTGATAATAGGCAGCCAGCTTGTCTTACTCCTGTATTCACTTCGAACGTCTTGCTGAGATTTCCGTAGTGGATCACTTGACACATGGGGCATTGTCATATAGCCAGCTGTGACTGGATGAGGTTGACAAAGACTTGGGCACTGCACGCTGTAGTGTTCAAGTAGTTTCCAAAGTACTTCTCGGTCTACACTGTTTGTCGAAGGCCTTCTCGAAGTTGATAAAGTTGAGGTACAGGTTTGACTGCCATTCTATGCTTTGTTCGATGATGATGTAGCGTAGAGTTCCAATTCGATCAGCACATGATTTGCCTTTTCCGAATCCAGCTTGTTCCCGGTGTGTGCTGTATGGAGTACGCCAATTTGAACGGGTGCAATTGTGTCAGGTAGGGAGATGAGGACTTCCGGGTTGGCGCCCGCCCTCGGGACTCTAAGAATCAATGGCTGGAGACAATAGGCGACATGGCTCAAAATCGTTGTCAATGGCTAACGCAGATGTATTCAGTCTCTTGTGTAATCTTTCATATTGCTTTCTACCATTACTCATTCTGTTTCACTCTTATACTTGTCAAAACTCTATTGATTCTCTTCACTCATTTTCTTGTCTACCTTTGTGTGCTGTTTGGAACGTGGCAACTCGAACTGTTGCACTTCGGTGCCAAGTTCTATGTTGAATCCAGCCAGGTGCAATTCTGTGCAAAGTTATATGTTAAAAGCCGACCAATCAGTTAGTCAGTCAGTCATGAAAAGGAATACTGTCTCCAGTTTATCAGGACTGAAGAAAATATACCAAATATATTTTTTTAATTCCTTTACGTTCCCAGTGGAACATGGGGCCCCTCCAAGTCAGAGCTTTGAAATTTCAGTAACAGTGGTGTTTTATTATTTTTACGCGATGGGGTTGCTAACCAGCCTCATGCCCAATCTTCCCTCTTTACCAGTCTTATCACCGGCTTAGAGAGGTAAATGAGTGTGTCTGTGGCCAGAGATCAAACCCCGAACCACATGAGGCATGGTTGACGAGCATTCTACCGCTGCGCCACCAACGCACCTTCACAAAATGGTATACCCACTGACTGGGTATTGGTTTTCGGGCGAACCGAACACACCTATCCCTCGCTCTCGCAAGAGAAGACCGGCATATAGTATCATCCTGTGGTGCAGCCACTCGACAGCCCTCTCCCTCGATGGACCAACGCCAAATATGGAAACTAGAAACTAATGGTTACCTATAGTAATAGACAAATTATCTGGAAAATCTCTCCTACACGATCTATTTATAAAATTTATTTTTATTTTATTTTGATTATAGCATGATTACACACCGTATTTTCGGTACAATTATGGATTTTTCAACATGTGATATTGGTACCCCAAATTTGGCAGGCTGACCATTGATATCAGGTGTGTGTCGGCAGGGGATCGAACCTCGGACCATGTGTTTGGTCGGCGAGAGTCCTAACCGCTGTGTCGTCGACGCACGTTTCATCAGACCTTTTAATTATTATATTTTTCCCCTAGACAGTCTACCATTAATTTTTTTAGTTAAATGACTAGTAGTGGAATCCATGACAGTGAGCATTTCGTCCTATTCGGGACTCATCATCTAGGGATGTGCCTACATCTCCTAGCAAGTGATGGCGCCCATACTGAGGTTTAAATCTAGTACTCATAGTTTCAAACGCCAGAGCGTTATCCACTAAACTATTTGGGCCACGACAGCCCCTTGATTGATTCGAGCGAAGTGCTCGGGCTCAGGTCGACATTTCATTTAATTGAAATTTTGCATATCTCCTTTTGATTCCGACCTTTATTATTTATTTGCTTTTGTCCTAATTTAACCTTTAACTGTAATACTTCTCTTTGTGATTGTGTGTGTGTCCATTGACAATGTGTTGTTTAACGATATATGCGTTTGTTTGAGTCAATGAAGGTCATTCTGACCCATCAGGACTGCCTGTGGTGGGAAGCGTTGGTGTGTGATTTTTGCGGACAGAGCTTTTGACCTCATCTCCTTGGTTCAACGGTATATTTGACAGTTCAACTTGGGTTAACTAATTTTATCTTATATTACTTTTTTGTATTTAGAAACCTACATTGCCTGCGTAATAGCTGCCTGACGGCACTGTAGAGGTGACTGACTGCTTTCAATGCTTTTGGAAGTGTGTGGGCGGTTGTTACTTCCCGGCTGCCCACACCGTGGAAGTTGATTGATTCTTCGAGTACCTGAAACGGAGAGAGGGTTAGTGTTGCGTGACAGCAGAGCCCAGGGGACAACTGCTTGAGGTCTGTCACTGGTTTCGTTCCGTATTAGTACATTTACCGCCGGTTACGGACCACCACAGGGTAAGTCGGGATATATAATATTTGGGATCGACCTTTTATAACCCCCTCTCTCCCTCCAGAGATGGCATGCTGGTCATCGGACGGAAACACCTTACTGCTGTTACACCCCTGTTCCCCAGCAGTACGACTTCGCCCACAGACCCCCAGGAAAGTGTAAGAA